AGAGAGTAAAAGGATGGAAAAACACATACCTTGCAAGGAGTAACCCTAAGAAAGCCAGTGTGACTGTATCATAGGAGATAAGGGTGACTTCAAGACAAGGAATGTTATCAGAAGTATTGAGGAAAGTCATTTATAATGATAAAAGGGGCCAATTCAACAAGGAGAAATAACAATCCTAAAGGTACATGCACCTAATAACAGAGTTTCAAACAAGAAACAAAAACTGACAAAAGGACAAAATAAACCCAGAGTTGGAGATTTTAATAACTTTCCTCAGTAACTGATAGAATAATTAGACAAAAATTAGTAAGAGGACAATAGATACGATCAAATGAACCACGATCTTAATCTGACAACCATTTGTAGAAAACTACACTAAAAACAGTCAAACATATTCTTTTTAAAGTGCACATGGAAACTTTACCAAGGCAGACCATATTCTGGGCCATAAAATAAGTCTAAACAAATTTCAAAGATTGGAACTTACAAACTATGTTATACCTTACCATAACACAGTTTACTCAGAAACCAAAACAAAATGTCCAGAAAATCCCTAAATATTTGTAAATTAAGTAACAAATAAGAAAAATCAGAAAACATTTAACATTGAATGATAATGAAGATATAACACACCAAAATTTATGGGATAGAATGAAAGTCATGCTTATAAAGAACTGTTCATATTCATATTTAAAGATTTAAAATTAGTCTTTAAAAAAACCCAAACAAATTAAACACAAAAACATGGAACAAAGAAGAGAAAAATTGTATTTTATTTTTCAAAGATCCAAAATGCTAGAAAAGCATGTAACAAAATTCAACAATATATATAATCACATTACTGCCAGAAAACTAGGACTAGAAAGCTATCTGGTAAAAAGCATACAAAAAGTTTACAATTACCATCATATTTAATGGTGGCTATTGAGCCCTTTCCCTGTAAAACTGGAAACACAGCGAGGACATGTGCTATCACACTTCTATTCAACTTGTACTGGAGGCCCCAGCCAGCACAATAAGGCATGATCAAGAAATAAAGGTCTACACATCAGAAAGGCAAAGAAAAACAGTCTCTATTCACAGATGAATATGTAGAAGATCCTAAGAATTCTAGTAGATGACTAGTAGACAATCAATTTAGGAAGGTAATGGTAAAGATACAAAAATCAATTGTATTTCTAAATGCCAGCAACAAACAACTGGAAACACACACACACAGAGAAACCTAATTAAGAGACCCATTAAGAATACAAATAGCTGGGCTCGGTGTCTCAGCCTGTAATCCGGCACCTTTGGGAGGCTGAGGTGAGTGGATTGCCTGAGCCCGTGGGTTCGAGACCCACCTGGGCAACTTGGAGAGCCCTCATCTCTACAATAAATAAAAAATGAGCCGAGCGTGGTAGCGTGTGCCTGTAGTTCCAGCTACTTGGAAGGCTGAGGCGGAAGGATCGCCGGAGCCCAGCAGGTTGAGGCTGCGGTGCGGCCACTGCACTCCAGTCTGGGTGACAGAGTGAGACTCCAACTCAAAAAAAAAAAAAGAATACAAATAGGTCACAGACAGTGAGAAAACATTTGCAATACATATATTTGACAAAGGACTAATATCCAGAATATATACAAAATTCATACAAGTCAGTAATAAAAAAACAGTTAAAAAAAAAAAAAAAAAGCTGGGCTCGGTGGCTCAGCCTGTAATCCTGCGCCTTTGGGAGGTTGAGGTGAGTGGATTGCCTGAGCCCGTGGGTTCGAGACCCACCTGGGCAACTTGGCGAGACCTCATCTCTACAATAAATCAAAAAATTAGCCGGACATGGTAGTGCGCGCCTGAGTTCCGGCTACTCGGAAGGCTGAGGCGGAAGGATTGCCAGAGTCCAGCAGGTCGAGGCTGCGGTGGCCGGGAGCCACTGCACTCCAGTCTGGGTGACCGAGTGAGACTCCAACTCAAAAAAAACCAAACAAACAAACAAAAAAAAAAACAGAAGTTTTCGCAAAGCAAGAGGTATGAAAGGACAATGTAGTCCAGGAAAATACTCAACATCATTAATCATCAGTGAAATGTGGTTACAACCACAATGAGATGATACCCCACACATTTGTTAGAATCACGCATATCAAGAACACAGATAACCTCAAAGGCTGCTAGCATATGGAAATGGAACTGTCTGTCATATATTGCTGGAAGGGGTGTAAAGGGTACAACCACTTTGGAAAAATACTGGCAGTTTCTTATGTAGTTAAACATATTCTATGAAAAATACATCTATCCAAGAGAAAAACTTATCTGTACAAAAAGACTTCCACAAGATTGCTCATAGCAGCATTATTCAGCATAGCCAAAATTGTAAACAAACCACAAGCCATTAAACAAATCTGCGGCACTCTATGAATACATAATGGAATATTGCCACTAAGGGCTGAATTATGTTCCCCACAAAGATGTATGAAATCTTAAACCCTGGTATCTGCAAATATAACCTTATATGGAAACATGGTTTTTGCAGATGTAATTAAGATGGAGATTGGGATGAGGTCACACTGGGTAAGGGTGGGCCCTTAATCCAATATAACTGGTGTCTTTGTAAGAAGAAAAGAGACACAGACAAAAACAGGGAGGGCACTGTGTGACTCTAAAGGCAGCACAATGTGGTGTCAACAGACAAGGAACACCAAGGATTGTCAGCAACACCAGAAGTTAAGAAAAGGCATGGAATAAATTCGCCTGAGAACTTTCCAGGAAAGCATGGCCCTGTGGACACCTTGATTTCAGACTTTAAGCCCTTAGAACTACAAGAGAATAAATCTCTATTGTTTTAAGCCACCAGTTTGTGGTCCTTTGTTACAGCAGCCCTAGTGAACTCATCAAACTACCCAGTCATAAAAAGGAATTCGCTGTTGATACATTAGATGAATTTCAAAAACATGCTCAGTGAAAGAAGCTGAACCCAAGACTATTTTGTAATGCAAACACACTGGAACAATGGTTGTCATTGGAAGGGAAGAGACAGACCGGGGGAAAAAAATATAAGGAGATTTTCTAGCTTGGTTGAAATGTTATCTATCTTGATAAGTGTCAGGTCCTATGGGTGAGTGCATTTGTCAAAGCTCATTGATTATACACTTAAGATATGTGCAAACACAACAGGAAAAAAATATCTGTGAATCAATATCTAGCGAATAGGTCTGCTTTTTGTAGCAGTTTAGGCAAGCAAACTGAAAATAACTTCTGTGTATTCTAGGCTTGAGCAAATGAGTAAATGTATGGTAGAGTGTAGGAGTCAGGTTTCTCATTACTGGAGAAGGGAGTCACACATTTAGAAAAAGGGAACAGTAGCAAAGCCTGTGGTGTTGAATCAAAATTGGAGGTTGGCCAGGCATGGTGGCTCACGCCTGTAGTCCCAGCACTTTGGGAGGCAGAGGCGAGAGGACCAACCTGGGCAACTTGGCGAGACCTTGTTTCTACGATAAATTAAAAAAATTCATCAGGTGTAGGGGCATATGCCTGTAGTCTAGCTACTTGGAAGGTTGAGGAAGAAGGATTGCATGAGCCCTGGTCAAGGCTGCAGTAGCTGGGATCATGGCACTGCACTCCAGCCTGGGCAACAAAGTGAGACTCTGACTCAAAAACAAAAAAATAAAAAGGAGGTTATCAGTGTGAATTTGTGATTATACAGCTATCTGGCTAAAAAATAAGAAAAAAAGGGATGAGGATAAGAAGTATTTTCCCTTATGTGTCTTCCTGTTTTCTGGATCTTAAAAGGAAAAATTAAGGAAGCAAGTGATGGAAGTAAGAATATACTTCACTGATGGAGGGCGGTTCCCTTGAATGAATTCTCAAATGTGTGATGGGCTTATTATTTCTACCAATGTGGGACATATACTAATGGAGGTACATCTAAACGATTATTTATTAGTCCTGAAAAAGACAGACTTGTAGAAAAAAGAATGACAATGAGAAGGTTTTCTAAAGTTTCAGTTTACCTTGGTCGTTGTCTTGAGGTTAATCACTGGCTAATAAAAACATTCTTAGCTGTATACTTACCAAATACCTTTAGTCTCTCTTGGATGTCTTAAATATTTACTCGTTGACATCGAGGGCCTGGAAGAGATGACCTACCCTTTCAATCCCGGGTGAGCAGTTTTGCTGTTTTTGAGAACTAAGGACGATTATACTGCTCTTTGGTTTTTGTTTTTTTCTCCCAGTCTTCAACCATATTCTGTTTAGTTTTACTGAAAGTCAGAATATTCAACACGCCTTTTATTTGGTGGAATATAAAAACAATCTAAAACAGTCATGGCAGTAAGTGCTTTTTTCTTTTCTTTCTTTTTTTTTTTTGACTCAGAGTCTCACTCTGTTCCCCAGACTAGAGTACAGTGGCACACTCACAGCCCCCGCAGCCTCGACCTGCTGGGCTCAGGCGATCCTTCCACCTCAGCCTTCCAAGTAGCTGGAACTACAGGCACATACCACCACAGCCAGCTAATTTTTTATTTATTGTAGAGATGAGTCTCGCCAAGTTGACCAGGCTGGGCTCAGGCAATCCTCTTGCCTCCACCTCCCCAATTGTTGGGATTACAGGCATGAGCCACTGTGCCTGGCCAGTAAATGCTTTAAAGTAAAATTTTTTCTCCAAAATTATACTGCCAAAATTTTTCTCTCTCTTCAGCAATGAATAGGCAAATGTACAAATGCAAAGGCCATCAAAATTAGAACACTCAGCCTGTTTGTTAATAACGAATCCAATCAACAGATGGGTACAGCATCCCCAAGAAGTGATGCATAAGAGATCAATTTGGATTTTTTTGGGACCAGCCCTCCTTCAGGTCATGCCACCTTGGATAAAAGCTGCCCTGAACCAGTACAGTAGATCCCAATCAGTGGGAGTATGTAGTTGTTGTGCAGAATTCCACAGACTCATTGGTTAAATTAGTACTGGGATGATTCCTGCCTGCCTACAGAAAAAGAGTCAGTCAGCACACAGGAGAACAAGTTCAGCGTTTACCATCCACAGGCATGGCCTCGGCTGGTGGCTGTTCCTCTTGTCCTCCCATGGTGCTCTCTTTAATGCTTTCTATTTCCCGCCAGAAATCCTCCATGGAGGCGCTGTCTACGGAGGCTTGTGAGTTGGAGCGGCTGAATGAGGCGGGATGGAGGGATTCATTGGAGAGCATCCTGTTGATTCTTCGGCAGCGTGGGATGGATTTTCTGGGGACAAAAAAGACATCTGTGAATGAAAGTTGGTTATATTTATATTATAAGGGTATATTACACTAAATGGAAAAGTGGATTAGTATGGTAGTGTTTGAGGGAACATTCTCCATTCAGTGACAATGGCCCTTTTGAAAAATTCTATATACTTCATAATGATTCTGGTCATATAAAATTAACATGAAAATGCTTTTTATAATTTTCACACACTCATAAAATACTATTATTTATTAGTTAAAATAAGGGACTTATCCTGAATTGTACCCCACATCTTTGAAATTAAAAAACCAAAAAAACAAGGGCCAGGTGCAGTGGCTCACGTCTACAGTCCCAGCACAGAAGGCTGAGATGGAAAGGTAACTTGAAGTTTGGAGTTTGAGGCTGTAGTGAGCTATGAGTGTCCTGCTGCTTGAGCCTGAGCAACAGAACAAGACCCTAGCTCCACAAGAAGAAAAGGAAAAAATTAGCCAAGTGTAGCGTCTCATGCTTGTAGACCCAACTACTAGGGAGGCTGAGGCAGGAGGATTGCTTGAGCCCAGGAGTTCAAGGCTGCATAGAGTTATGTCTGCACAACTGGACTCCAGTCTGACCACAGAGAAAGATGCTGGCTTACAAAAAAAAAGTATAGTAAAACTTTGCTTCTGTGTAGGGCGTAGTGGCTCATGCCTGTAATCCCAGCACTTGGGGAGGCCAAAGAGGGAGGACTGCTTGAGCCCAGGAGTTTGAGACCAGCCTCAAACATAGTAAGACCTCATCTACAAAAAAGAAAATTAGCTGGGTGTGTTGATGTGTGCCTATAGTCTCAGCTACTCGGGAGGCTACAGCCAGGTGAACTGCTTGAGCCCAGGAGTCTGAGTGGGCAGTGATCTTGCCACTGCCCTCCAACCTAGGTGATACAGTGAGAGCCTGACTAAAAACACATTTTTGCTTCTGTAAAGTATCTGAGATAATGACAGAGAAGGGTGTAAAAAGTTGGCTACTCATACTCATTAGGGTGGTTACTATTTAAAAAAAGAAAATAACAAATTTTGGGCCAGGTGCAGTGGCTCACACTTGTAATCCCAGAACTTTAGGAGGCCGAGGTGGGAGGATTGCCTGAGCCCAGGAGTTCGTGACCAGCCTGAGCAACATAACAAAACCTCATCTCTGCAAAAAATTTTTAAAAATTAGCTGGGTGTGCTGGCATATGCCTGTGGTCCCAAGTAGAAGGATTGCTTGCACCCAGGAGGTTGGGACTGCTGTGAGCCATGATTGTGGCTCATGCCACTGCTCTCCAGCCAGGGCAACTCTGGCTCAAAACAAAACAAGTTTTGGTGGAGATGTGGAGAAACTGGAACCCTTATGCACTGTTTTTTTTTTTTTAAAATTTCTATTTTAAAAATGTGGGGTACAATTCAGAGTTAGGTATACAAATGTTTATTATGCAGGTATAGTACTTTTTTCTTTTCTAATTTTTTGATGTACTATTGGTGGGGAAGTAAAATGGTATAGCCTCTATCGGAACAGTAAGGTGATTCCTCTAAAAATTAAACATAGAATTACCATAAGATCCAGCAATTTCACTTATGGGTATATATCCACAAGAATTAAAAGCAGAGGCTCAAAGAAATATTTATACACCCACATTAACAGTAGCATTATTCATAATAGCCAAAAGGTGGAAGCAGCCAAACTGTACATCAATGAACAAATGGATAAGCAAAATATGGTATATATAGGCAAAATATTATTCAGTCTTAAAAATGAAGGATATTCTGACACATGCTACAACATGGATGGAACTTGAGGACACTGTGCTAAGTGAAATAAGCTACTCACAAAAAGACAAGTACTATACGATTCCATTTATATGAGGTGCTGAAAGCGGTCAAATTCACAGAGACAGAAAGTAGAATGGTGGTGCCAGAGGCTGGAGGAGAGGAAATTGGGGGAGATCATTGTACATGGCTCCATGATACATGACAGACATATATTACACTTCCTAGGAGTAGAATGTTTGATTAATTGGAACACTTTGTATTACTTTGTAGTAAATACTTTGTAGTAAAATCTGTTTTTGTTCTTACTGACTTTTTTTTCTTTTTTAATTTTCAGATTTGGTGTGAGTTTGTAACTTCTTTTTTTTTTTTTTTTTGAGTTGGAATCTCACTCTGTCGCCCAGACTGGAGTGCAGTGGCTGCTCCCGGCCACCGCAGCCTCTACCTGCTGGGCTCTAGCGATCCTTCCGCCTCAGCCTTCCAAGTATCTGGAACTACAGGCGAATGCTACCACGCCCGGCTGATTTTATGATTTATTGTAGAGATGAGGTCTTGCCAAGTTGCCCAGGCGGGTCTCGAACCCGCGGGCTCAGGCAATCCACTCACCTCAGCCTCCCAAAGGCGCGGGATTACAGGCTGAGCCACCAAGCCCGGCTGCAACTTCTTTCAAAGAACCTCCTCCAACCTTGCCTTCTTCTTGGATTCAGGTGAAACTGAACAAGAAGACTGAGACTATCTCTTAAACAATGTGTGGTCTGAGCTGTTTCATTCAAAACAAGAAATCCCAGGTGGAAAGAGGTAACGCGAGCAATGGACAGGAATGCTCACTGTGGGCTTTATGATTCACTTAAGACAATGAATCTTCGATATACAGAGCAGCAGTAGATTGTTATTAGATTTAGTACAGCCTATGGCACATGTAAAGAATACTTACATGCATGAGAGTACAGAAGAAGAGGGGGAATGATATTTTCATAAGACAAAAAATTTTTGTTTGCTTATCTTCTCTATACCTCCAGGAATCTCTCTAGATTTCTAAATGACCCTAAGTAAAAAATTCTGGAATTTATTCAGGTGTAGTAGCTCAAACCTGTAATCCCTGCACTTTAGGAGGCCAAGGCAGGAGGATTGCTGGAGCCCAGCAATTCAAGACCAACCTAAGCAACATAGTGAGAACATGTCTCTACAAAAAAAATAAAATAAACAAATCAGTCGGGTGTGGAGACACATGACTGTAGTCCCCTTAGGCCCAGTTACTTGGGAGGCTGAAGTGGAAGAATCGCCTGAGCCCAGGAGGTTGAGGCTGCAGTGAATCATAATTGTGCCACTGCACTACTGCCTGGACAACAGTGTGAGACCACAGCTCAAAAAGTCTGGAATTTTATCACTGATCTTTTTATGGCACTTGACTGTAAATAGTTCTAGTTTTGACATTAACTGACAGCAAGATACACAATTTATTTTTTATTTTTATTTCTTGAGTCAGGGTCTCACTCTGTCACCCAGGCTGGGGTGCAGTGGCTCACCACAGCCTTGACCTTGTAGGCTCAGGGGATCCTTCAGACCCAGCATTCCAAGTAACTGGGACTACAGGCACAAGCCACCATGCCCAGCTAATTTTTCTGATTTTTTATAGAGATGAAGTCTCACTATGCTGCCCAGGCTGGTCTTGAAATCTTGGGCTCAAGCAATCCTCCTGCCTCGGCCTTCCAAAGTGCTGGGATTACAGGCATGAGCCACAGTGCCCGGCCTCAATTTATTTTTTAAAATCAAAACATTTCAGGAAAACATGAAATATTCGCTTTTGCTTTTTACATGTTGTGTGGTTAAAAAAGATTTTTAAGCAGCTTCGCTTAATAACTGAGTGATAAGAGCTTTTCACTAAATTCTCTACAGCTCAACAAGACAGACACATTCTGGTGGTTGAAATATCTATGAAATCAACAAGACATCAAGCCAATTATTGCTCCCTTCATTATTTTTAGGCTTGTAAGACTTTTCTCCTTTTGTAATAAGACATACTGAAAACCACTAACAAATTCATAGAGTTACTAGTACAAAAGCATCTACTGCTTAAAAGACTGAAATGAATTGCCACTGCTCACACAGACGACTGCCCCCCATGTACCATATTCAGAAAAAGCATATGGATACCCAAAATTTTTTCTAGTTCTGGATATCTTAGGTTGATTTCTTTTAAAAGTAAATATGCTTGACTTGTAAGAAAACCAAGTCATGTGTAAGTAGAAACATTTAATAAACAATTGTATAAAGCAACAACGGAGATCTTCGCCACCTGTATTATATCAATATTGTTCTATAAGCTGCTTCGTTTTCCTGACTCAAAAACATGTCATTGACATTTTTTTCCATGCTAGCACCATGACATTGCCTCAATGGCTGCACAGAGTGGTATGATGTGTCTTAGAAGTTAAGCAAACATACAGATATATCCAAGTGCTAAAAATGTTTGAAGAAGTGAAAAATAATAAGGGAATCATAGAAGACAAGAGGAAGATATATTTAGGACTAGTGATCACAATATCAATTAAGATACAGTTTCTTAGTCACACAAAGGGTATACTAATAGGATCTCAGAGAAAAGACCTTCATAAAACTGCTTGGGGGCAGAGGGAACAGATGTGAAAGGCTGGTCGTGGGCTGCTGAATAACATGCTGGTTTCATGCGAGATAATCCACCCTGAGAATCCTTTAATTGCAATGATCCACTATTTTATTTTTTGGCAAAAAAGTCAGACAGCATTTTTGGGGATAAGCGCACTTGGAAGAGCTCTCACATTTTTAGTTAAAGATCCAAATATTTCCCCTTCACCCCAGGGCCTCTGGAGTTTGGACCATGAACTTTACTCTTGAAACTACGCCATTTTGACCCTTAGGCCATCTGACAGTCTGAAGAGCCTTAATCTGCAGCTTCATACCTCACCATATTAGGAGAAAACAGAGTTAGGCCTCATCAGTGGTTTGTGTTTTCTTTATTCCAAAACAATACCAGGAAAATGTTACATGAAAAACAGAATGCAACTGTGTTACACATCAAGTTTCACTGAGAAAACACTACTAGGTTTAAAATTAAATTTTATGTGCCATATTTATCATAAATTCAAATTGGCATAAAAAAAGGAAAGATTTTTATTATTCTATTTTTTTCTTCCACTGTCCTTTTAGCTATAACTTGTACTATATTTTAGTGGATCCCAGAGATCTGTAACTATTTTGCAA